TGTAGAAAAATTGTTTTACCTTGTCTCTAATTTTTCAAAAATAATCGACCCATAATTAAACCATAATTTGCAAACAATTGTTCAGTCATAGGCATCAATCACAATATTTTTCAATCATTTTTTGTGAAAAAATTCTGACGTGAGTTAATTCGTTGTATGATTGTGACCTATTGATTTTGTGACTTTGACTCTTAGTCACAGATATGTGCATGACAATCTATAATTTCAAATAAGCATGTAAAATTTAAAAATGTGACCTAAGACACGCGTCTTTGAAAATTGGTCATTTCATGAGAAGATTGTTATTACATTTTGTGACTGTAATATATGAAGTTGTGTGATTGTGATATAAAAATATTGGTAGTACATTATATGATTGTAACATACTATATTGTGTGAATGCGATTTATAAAGAGCTGTTTTTGTGATAATCATTCATAAATAAGTGACTCTATTTTGTGACTTCACGTCTCTTTGAACGTGATCTAAAACATGTCTTCGAAAATTGTAAGTTCATGCAATAATTGTGAACTCATTTCAAGCTTAGTTTTTTAATAATTCAATATATATTTATATATAATTAACACTTGATTTTGAAAAAAATAAAAATCATAATGGTCTTCTTAATAATAATTAAATCTTAAAACCCATAATTTTGCTTTATTTTCTCTCATTTACATTTAACATTGGACTTTGAAAACAATAAAGGGTAACTTATAGAAATATTTTTAATATTAGAGGTCTTTTGAAAAATCATATCAAAGTGTTTTGGAAGTAAAAACTAATGTGTAAAATAAAATGAGACTTTTTAATAAAAAAGAAAAATAAAGTGACATTGCTTTTAATTAAAAGTGATGTATGTCATTTTTAAATCAGAAAGTAACGTATAATGCGACTTTCTCTATAATGAAAGCTTAATTCATATTTAACACAATACAAAATAAAGTAACATAAAAAAAAAAATCTTATAAGCAAATTGAAAGATTAGACAAAGATGTATTGTTCTAGTAAAAATTACATTTTAACTAAAAAATGGCACAACATATGCTATATCACTTTTTAATGAAAATATTATAAACTTGACTTTTCTTAATAAATTCTTAGACAAAAAGAGTTTTCTCCCTATTTATTAAACTCAAATCCCACAAAAAGGAAAAAAGATAGTCTGTTCAATGGAATTAAAAAAAAAAGCTTTGCTACATCTATACTGTCATTGGTTAACATAATACACAAGTAATATTCTGTCATTGGTTGGTGGAAAAAAAATTTCCACCAGCCAATAACAGTATGCCACTTGTGCATCATATCATTCAAAGTGTACACTGAATGTATGAGGAGAATAATTCATTCAAAAAGTGACATAATATTTAACACCAATCAAATAGATCCAGAGAATTGTTTATTTTCTTCTACATGCTGTCTTTTTATCTAGTTGTTTTATTACTGAGTTCCATATATGAATCTTTCAAAGATGTTAAAAAGCTTCAAAAAACATAGAAGAGAGACATTATCATTTGCATTAGTAAATGTCTACCTTTAGCAATCGAATTTCCATTGGTAAATGTCTAAAAACTTTATCATTACCAATCGAATTTTCGTTAATAACCTTTTTCGCAGGTAAAACTTCATTTATTTATATTTTAATAATTTTTATTAAACCTACTAATCAATATTCAATATTATCAAAACCCACTAAATAATCAAAATCATCAAAGGCTAAATAAGGGTAACTTCCTATGTAAACAAAGGCTAAACCATACAAACGCTATATACTAAAACATTTTCTAGTCGAACCATACAAAGGATATATAAACAAAATATGCTGCTGAAACATGCATATTAGAAAAACAAACTATATCATTTGGAATAGTCTAGATATTTCTTTTGAAACACAAAAATAAAACTTTCAATAAATCAGACGGTGACAAAATCCAGTAGAAATTCAAATAGCGAAAATTATTAAAATTCATAAGAAATATTTTGGCCTAAAGTATATATAATGTTAAATTAGTGAATATCCAAAAGATATAGGAATATTGATGAAGTGTATAAGGAGTTAGAATTTATGATGAACTGAGATCGTAAGGTAAAATAATGATTTCA